GTGATTTTGCTCAACAGATATTCATTATCAAGGAGATAACCCAGGGCTTTTCTTCAAAAGAACTGAAGTCCAGGGTACAAACGAAGAAACTGATTCTATGGTCCAAAGAAGCATTCTGCTAGCTATTGAGATGAAAAAAGTCAGGTTGCCTGGATCATTTCTGCTGGCTGGAGCTGCTATTCCTTGGTGTTCTAGCTAAAGCAGAATGCAATCTATCAGTTTAATAACATATACTTTCTATCAGGAACTGCAGTCAAGTTCATGAAGGGAGACAAATTCCATACTGACTTAGTCCTCTCCACCTATAACCAATACAATTTTTAGCTGAGACTGTACATTCCTAAATAGCAATCATTGTTTCTCCTGTTTCTATTCTACTGTGTTGGCAGAGATGCCTGAGTCCAATGTATTAGGATTTTTTCAAGTAGCCTAATCACTACAAGGGGGCTTTCAAGCCTGAAACTTCCCAATGACCTTAATTTGCTTGTCAGATAAAAATGTTAAATGATAGACAAGTATAATTGGAAAATGTGGATTTGTTAAAAACTGACAGAGAGGCAGGTAAGGCAAAATGATGGAAATACTTATTATTTCTTGAAGTGATCCTTCTAGAAATCAATAAATGTACAGTGCAGTGAACAACACATATAAATACAAAGACGTGTGCATACATACAGACTCCTCCTCACACACAGGTAAAAGGCTAAAGGAAACACTATCCAGGCAGTGAGAAGATAGCAATAAATAAAACATCAAAAGATAGCAATAAAGCAAACATCATAATTAATATTTTTACCACACTTGAAAGTAGAAATATATTTAGGCACTTTGCCATTCTAAGTTAAATTCAATACATGTCCCTCAATCTTTCTGTTCTTTTTTTTTCATTTCCCCCTTTTTCTCTTCATCAGGGTAATGTTTAAATTGTAAATGGTAAGAGCTTCAAGATGCACAATGTTTCTGTCATGCATGCTCTTGGTTCTTTTTTGTCTTTTCCTGCTTTTCTTTCCTTCATTTTTTCTCTCCATCAGCTGGGCACGTGCTGTAAGTCCCTCTGTTTCTCCTCAGTTTTCTCAATTATGCAGGACAGAAAAACTAAGTTTAAAGAATAATTATTACAGGTTGCATTATTACTTGCTTGCCAAGCAAGTTTCTGCAACCTCATTTCATCCCTTTGGGTTTAATCATGGGATCATACAGTATTTTTCCAGAATGTCATTCATTAAACAATATGGCCAGCATTCATATAGCTAAAATCAGTATTGTGTTTTCTCCACATTGTCCAGTGCATTCCTAGCTGCTGACTGAGCACTACACAAACCCTCCTGTACAAGGATGATTAGCAGTTCTGTGACCACAGGGACAAATGTGGCTGTTACCTGTATGGGGCCATACTCCATTTGAAAGCTAAGGTTCACGGCTGAGGTGGTGAAGAAGTACTGGTGGAACAGGAGTATGATACCACTAGCAGTGCCAATGGGAAGACTACGGCCAACTTAGCTTCCGTTGTCCCTATTCCCTTGACCCTGTTTCATTCTTGGACGTCAAATCTATCCCCGCGCCTTCTGACAAGATGACAGTGCTCCAGCAGTTGCGCTCTCTTTCCTCATTAGCCTTTGTAGGGATATATAAATTGGGAGGGAGGTGCTAGCCATCCCCAGCCCTTGATAAGAGGTTGGTGCACCAGCCCCTGAAAGAGATTAGGATTTGCTATGATTACCTTCTTGGTGCTTAGGCACAAAAGGTGAATTGTTTCCCAGACTTTAAAGAAGTCTCAGGAGGGAACTCAGTACTTATCTAACTGGGCTGGGCTGTTCTTTTGCCTAGTAGTGTGTATCATTCTTTCTGCCCATCAGCTCGTAAGTTCATTTTGACAAAAACGTACTTTAAAAATGAACAGCACAAGACTAAGGTAAGGGAGGATTTATTGCTTATCTCAGCAGATGATTAGAGAGCATGCTGCAATGTTTGGATGTCAACCCTTCTAAAACAGCATAGCTGCAACTAATATGATTAGTCAAAGTGGTGAATTGATTCTAAAGCTACACCATGTATCATATGTATGTCCAGAAGCATATTGTCAAGATAAACTGCTCACTCACGTACTCTTAATGCATGAGTGTCTAATGGCATCATTCCTTCTTCCTTCCTTTATTAACCCCATGCCCAGAAATTCATTCTGTACCTAGTTCTGCTCCCCAGTCTGCATCTGGCCTGGGATACCTTCTGTCCCCAGCATCTGTTCTTCACTTTCAAGCCCTGTCTCAGCTCCTCCCTGGGTTCTTCACCCAAATCTGTGGAGGAGGACCTGCACTTTCCGTCCTCTCCAGGCTACAGGGAGAGGCTCCCAAGGCTTCTTCACTTCTTCACTGAGCAGACTGGAAGGAACAGTGAAAAAGTTTTAATCACAGGACAGGAGAACAGAAGAAGAAGAGAATCTTCCAGTTCCTTTTTTTCCTTTTCATTTCTTTTGGAGCAAATTTCTCCAAAATCTTAAAAAAGTTGTGAATTTGGTACAAAAGGGCTGGAAACCCTAACACCAGCTCAGTTCTGTCTCTTAGCTACATGCTTTAGTT